CTTCTCGATCTTGTTCCGGTTCAGGTAGAGTCGCTCCAGGTTGGTGAGGGTGCCGATCTGGATGGGGATGTAGGCGATCTGGTTGTACCAGAGTTTGAGGCACACCAGTCTGTGGAGGTGCTGGAAGCTGATGATCTCCTCGATGGTCTTCAAATTGTTGTCCTTCAGATCAATTTCCTACAGACAGAAGTTAAGATGTGCACATCAGAGTAAGTGAGCCCAAGGGGAAATTCCTGTGGTAAGCAGCCAAACTTTAGGAAATGTACAACATTTATATAATGCAGCAGGTTTAAAGAATATTGTTTTGTTTTTTACTCATCTGACTTGAGTATCAAGTTTTACTTGCATACATTAGTTCCGTAGTATCTAATTACATGCACAGGTTTTGTGAGACTACATTAAAGGGTTAGTTCACTCAAAAATGAAAATTCTGTCAGTAATTTCACCCTCACCCTCGTGACTTTCGTTCATCTTCAGAACACAAATATAATACAAACGCTAAAAAAAATAACCACTTTATTCAACTATTCATTTCCTTCTCTGTGGGCCTTGAGATTTCAAGTAGTGAAACTATGCAAAGCTTCTAGGTTGTATGTCACACGCATCACACACGACCAGTGTTGGCCAATAGTGAGCCTACGTGTGACGTACAACACAGAAGCGCTGCGCTTTTACACTACATGAAATCTCACGGCCCACAGAGAAGTAAATGATTAGTTGAAATAAAGTTGTTATTTCTTGCACACAAAAAGTATTCTCGTCACTTGATAAAGTTAAGATTGAGCCACTGTAGTCACTTGGACTATTTTAACGATGTCTTTAAGAACTTTCTGGGCCGGCAAGTTTCAATCCCTTAGAAGCCTATGGAGGAGTGATTCAGCTCTTAGATTTAATCAAAAATATCTTAATTTGTGTTCTGAAGACGAACAAGAGTCTTATGGGGTTGGAACAACATGAGGGTGAGTCATTACTGACAGAACTTTCATTTTTGGGTGAACTAACCCTTAAAGGTGCCATCTGTAATAATTGAGGTAAAAATATCCAAAAAATGAGCTACACGCAACAAAAGAATGAGAAGAAATAAGTGCAATGATGTAATTAAAAAACTGACAAGTTATAGTGCTGCCGAGATATAAACCTAAATTAGCATGCTAAATTACTAGCCCCGGCCCGGCAGGTGTCGTAATACCAGTTCCGGCCATGGGAGGCGGTATGCGGCCGGGCAACGTTACCACCAGCCAAACTGCAGTACACGAGTGAGTCGCGCTTGCGCAGGCTTGTGTGTACTTGAACCTGATGTCAGTCGTGTGGAAATACAGCCCACTACTACATTTCAGTTCAGGGAAGAGTTCAAAAAACGATTGGTCGATATCACGCATGAGGAATACATTTTGGTAAGTTGTAGCATACTGTATCTTTCAACAGTGTTCGGGTTCTTTTTCCATTAGCTAGTAGAGACGATCGGTTCACGTGCGCTAGGGATCTCTGGTGTAACATGTACAAGCGCCAAAACGGTATTTATTGTTTGAATTGCATAATAAAATTGACAGAATCTGAGAGCTTAACTAACCTGCTTGCTAAGTGTTAATTGCATGTGTCTCACGGTGAATTCGTGAGAGTTGGCAGCTTTGAATGGCGCTAGGTTGATCAACATCAGCGAATGCTGTCTGTCAAATTAATTCAAACTAACAATAAAAGTGTAATATGAACAAAAGGAATACCGTAAACTTAAAATAATAGCCCGCAAGCTTTTATTTTCCCATATCGTCGAAATGCAACAGCTTGTTTTTGAGACAGGCGTCTATGAGACGGTCTTCATCATTTAGTGTTGAGATGTTGTTCATTGAGTCTCTGATCTCTAAAAATCTCCAAATGCTCCACGTGAAACTGCGGTCTTCCGACCTTTTACTATCGTGACAAATGATTTGAATAATATGCGGAGAAAGAGAGCAAAACAGAGCTCGCTTGTGTTGTTTGAAGACGTGAGTGCGTGCGGCCGCGGCACAACACATTTTCTGGAGGTATACTGCCCCCATCTGTTATGGAATATGGAATATTTTTTGATTTTTAGTTCCAGATGGCACCTTTAAAGGAGGACTAAGATTACCTGTAGATTGTGCAGGCTGAATATGGAGTGCGGGATCCTCTCCAGATCACAGCGCACCAGCTCCATCTCCGTCAGGTTCACCATCTTCTTCAGACTGTTCAGAACCATCAGTTTGGTCCCTTCGTTATTGATGGAGAGCTTCTGCAAGTGAACGCCAACGTCCGTCACCACCTGCAAGGGGGAAAGACGCACTTGAATCATCATTTTGTCCAAAGTGAAATTGCAAAATGCAATTCCATGTGAGTATATTCAGTTATATATATTCAAAAACAAAACCAGACCTAAAGATTTCCCTACCGGTCTTATATACACTTTATATATTAGATTACATAGATTTATTTATTTTTTTACATTTTGTTCAGAATATTTACAAACCGTACCTACAATAATAGCATAACGCATTAGTTGCTAACTGAATATTAAAAACAATCTCAATCTCTGAGTGAAAGTCATATGTGGAACTATGTATATATATATATATATATATATATAAAATTTGTATACCTATTAATTTATATAAACGATAAAATCTATTATATATACTAATATCATTTTATTAATTTTAATTATAGAATTGAACCATTTTACTTATATAAATATTTTGATATATAGTATAGAGACACACAATTTATTTTGTATTATACACTGATTATATAAACAAAATATGATCATTTATCAAAATGTTTAACAAAAAGATGAAATGACATTTTTATATAAAATAATATCTGTATAAACTTTAACTTGTATATATATATTTTTTTTACATATTATATTTTTATATTATATTTAAATATATATTTTTAAATATATATATATATATATATATATTTGTACTATTAAAATGATATATAATGTGAACTGTAAAATATTTATATAAGAGTTATTTTTATTTTTTGGTAAAGATTTTGATTAAAAAAAGTCTATTTTTGTCTTTATAATAATGAGCACTGATAAATGATGCACAACAAGTCCAAGATCATGTATTAAGAAAGTAAACAGGCTCAATTTTATTTTTCCATCAGCGTGACATGACCTGACATCATCAGATACTACACATACTATTCTGTCGTTTCGGTCACATGCTTTCACACAGTAAGCATGACATTTATGAATATGTTCATGAATTTCTGTAATGAACATCATCTAACCTGAGGCAGTTTAGTGAGGTTGCTCTTCAGCCGCAGGACCTTGAGCCTCTTAAGCTCCCGTAGGCCATCGATGACGATGAATCGGTTGTTATCGGCGCTGAGGTTTCCAGTGAGATGGAGCTCGCTGAGGTTCTTGAGGCTGTAGATCCACAGCGGGATCTCCTTAATGTCTGTGAACTTTATGTGTAGTGATTTGAGGTTCTCACGGAGGAAGGCCAGAGCGGGAGCCTCGATTTTGGCCGGTGTGTGGTAAAGCCACATCTCTCTCAGGTTACACAGCTGTGCGATAATGGGCGGGATCGTAACGTCAGGGATCAGCTCTAATTTCAGCACCTGGAAGGATGAAAAAGATAATTGTGAATTTTAATACATTCTCCCATACCAACATAATATGCAAAGCCAACTTTATATAAACTCTAAAAGCTGATTGGCAAAGAGTGTCCGATTGGGGCGGGACCTTCTTTTTTAACCAATAAAATAGAGGACATTAATCCAGAAACCTTATTATTTTGAAAATCAAGTCCCGTCCTACATTTTTTTATCATTCCAGAAACAGCTTCACTCGGATAAACGTCACAACAGGAAGAAAAGACTGTCGCTTCATGCCAACGAACTTACACATATTTAAATGATTATTACTAAATATAAATATTAAAGCTACACTGTGTAACTCTTTTAGTTTATTCTTAGCTAAAAACACTTGGTTCTTTCAAAAATACATGTGTTCATTAATGTATGATTACTTCGTTCAAGTAATAAAGTATTCTCGTGAGTGTATAATATGCCATGGAAAATACATACGGGTAAGGGGTTCTAATGTTGCCCCTCCATCTTGAAAGTACATTAGCCAAAGAAGGACATACCCGTTAATTCAAGCTTCGCCTTTTGCAATTACGTTTAAGTTAACACTCATGGACGAGGTCGAACTGAAAGCCATGTTAATCTTGGACTACATTGGCCACCGTAGGAGTTAAAACGAAATCGGAATTGAGAGGAACAGAAACTAATATTCACTGGATGGTCATATACCTTTTCACCACTAGATGGGGGTAAAAATCACACAGTGTAGCTTTAAACAAGTTCAGAAATATTATAGTAATATTTTACTGTGAAATAAAAAAGTAGATTAAAAATGTTTTATAGTAAACCAGTTTAATAACAATACTAATAATAATGAGCTATAATTTTGAAAAATATCTTTGATTTTCATTCATGTCATTCATTAACAAATGTTCAACCATCAAGCATTTATGTCCTGTTTACACGAAGGGAAGACGCAGATATTTCCCTGTGGTTTGGCCTCATTTACACGAAAACCCCGTTTTTATCACATAAAAAATAAAACGATTACTTGTGTAAATGTGGCCTTATATTAGTCCTTAAAGCTTCTCTTTTCACTGTTTGTAAACACTCCTCATTACAAGTATGGGAAGATGGTAGCATGATGCATGTTGCCTTTTCAAATGCATGTTTTTAGCGTCCCAATCTCAGACGGAGGTCATGTGAAGCAACGTTTACTGTGAACCGAGACGCTCCGAGACACTGAAAACCAGTCAAAGAGTAAAACACCGCACATATTTTCACAATTAAATTGCAAATTTGATCATTGATTTTCTTTTGATGAATGGTGCAGTCCGCTAGCCTGGTTAAAACCAGACCATTTTCCATTGTAACTGAGTTATAGACAAATCATTTCCAGAGGGGCGTCACCAACGGACGTCACAGATAGACCTAAAACCAATCAGAGCGATGAAGGAAATCACATATGCAGAGCAGCGGAGAAACATCTTCGAGTGTTGTTCTTTGCTCGGTTTTTAACAAAAAGGAAATGTTGATGGCACGATGGCATCCATCTTTGTAATGTAGGCAACAAAATCTGCTTCAAAATCCCAGCGCTGTCGTCATCGTGTAAAGCCCGCCCCAACGTTTCTGATTGGTGCCTCGATTTCGACGGATTGGAAATGGGCTTGAATGAGCTCTTTGCCTGACTAACTTTCAGAGCAAATCTAAATTTGCTGAAAATTGTCTGGGTTTTCCCAGGCTAGTAGCCCACCCTTCTTGTGTGGACATTTAATAGGAAACTACTTTCAGCAAGTCTCCTTCATGACTTGAACCTTTGAATATGCAACTGGTAGGTAATTTATATACACACACACACATATATTCAAGCCGGCAAACCTACACACCTCCAGTTCTACAAGGTCAAACACTGTGTCTGGGATCCCGCTCAGCATGAAGAGGTGCAGCTCTAGTTTCTCCTGCGAGTTCTTTGTTATCCTCTGTCGGAGTTTCTCCAGAGTCCATTCGTTATTCAGGTTCAGCTGTCGCAGTTTGTTTTCGCTGACCTCCGACAGGAACACGGCGAACCGCTTCGAGTACAGCGGGTCGTACTGGTCGATCATGTGCAGCATGAAGGCGAAGTCGTTCTTCACGTCCGGGATGTCGCTGTAGCTGCTCTCCTCGCGAATGGACTCGAAAGAATAACGTTTTAGCGAGCGGCTGATTATCCAGGACAGCGTGTACATGCAGATGAGGCCGTAAACCACCACCAGACTGATGTAGAAACAGGCTAGGATCTTAAAAAGCGTGGCCAGAGGATGAGCGCAGTGGTACGTGCGATACCCCGTCAGACGCTCGATGTCCACGGTACAGGTCACGCTGAACGTGATGAAGTGAACGTAGTACATGGTGTAGCTGAAGATAATGATGAACTGGATGACTTTGATGATTATCTGCCGTATGTAAAGGCGGTGAACGATGTCGCCCTCCTCCACGTGGATACGAAACTTCTTCACCTGCAAGAAGAGAAGGATGAGATGATATACTCGGAATATTTGGGCTCTGTTTCAAAACCTAGTGAACAACCATGCTGTCTGCTACCTACACAGACAGCTTCATAGAAGGGTCTATGGTCATTTCTCAGGGTCATATATAAAAAATATACAGCAATAAACGTTTTAGCATTACACTAAAAATGAGTATAATTTTAGAATAAATGTATAAATATTCATTAAACATTTTTTATTAGATATATATTTATTTAATATTTAGCAATACATTTTAGAATTGGATAAAAAGTATATTTTGTTAATTAGTATATGAAATAAGTATAATTAATATCATTTAATTGATACATTTATTTATCAATATATAAATATTCATTTTCATTACAGGGTGAAATATATTTTATTAATTAGTATTGAAGTAAATACACTAATAAATTATAAATATTTATTAAATTCTAATATATATACATATTTATTTAATATTATCAGTACTTTTCAGCATGGGACAAAATAAGTATTTTTTTTCATCAGTAAATGAAGCAAATATACATTTTAAAATTAGAAATATATTTATTAAATATATATAAATAAATAATCAATCTTTCTTTTCAGCATTGGTTGAAGTATATTTTGAATACATTATTATACGAACAGACTCAGAGTATAAAAATCTAAATCCTAAATATATTTTAAGTATATTTGTCGCAATGCAATTCTAGGATTGCCCTCTCCACTAATGCTGCCTTCGAATTTAGTTAAAGGAAAGTATTTTTCTGGAGTGCTACTGACTACAGAGGCAGTTCACTGGGTTTTGGAACACAGCTTTGATAACCAGACATCCCGCTTGGGACTCGAGCCCTTCAATAAAGCACATACACACCTTCTCAAACAGTGCCTTGGCCTGCTCCCCTTCCTTCTTATCCAAGACCCCTGTCTCCGAACGGTCCACGATGCCCTGCTCGATCCGGGACTTGGTCCTTTGCAGCATCGGGACGCTCGCTTCCACATCCTGGTCACTCAAGCTGGAGGCTTTCTTATCCATGGAGCCGTTCATCTTCCCAGCCGGCTTCGGGTCACTCTCCTCCACCACCGTCTCAGACAGCGCGCGCGTCGTCCACGGTGAGTCGAAGCATTTCAACAGAATGGACACGAAATGCTCCAGCTTCGAACTGGTCCGTGGAAACTTAAACCAGAAGTTACTACATGCTAGAAAAATCAGGGTGTGCAGCAGCACCAGATACGGGAAGTACTTTGCGAACCAGTGGAGCTTGTTCTCGTAACATACAGCGTCCACATAGTTGTACTGGTGCCTGTCGAGGTCGTACTGGATGCCTTTCGGCTCCGGGTTGAGCGGCAGGCTAACATTGAGCTGTTCGCAGGTCTGGTTGACGACCCATTTGCATGGCAGGCAAATCATCTTGTCCTGCGTGACCTGCAGCGTGCCACCGAACACCGCGATCATCAGCATGACGATGGAGATGTAGTCTGTGAACACGTCCCACCATGGTTTCAGAATTCGATACGCCGGCTGTGTGTCAGCAAAGTATCGCAGCTCAGTGATGGGAATCATGACAGTTTACCTGAGAAACAGAGAGAACCAGAATGAAAATGACAAACCGGTAATGGTAGGCAAATCATAATATACTAATCAAATGCCCATGTCATTTCTACCTAAAAGAAAAAAATATATACGGTATATATTTTGAATAAGGTCATATCATTCTCAACCTTTTTTAAAAGGTAATTTCTACAATTAAAAATAAAAACACTATGTAAAAGGTCATTCCTAAAATAAAATAAACAATATTTTGCATAGGCAGGGTCATTTCTAAGTATTTCATCTCATGCTCAACTTTTTGGAAATAGGCAATATCTATCTAAAAATAAAAGAAACAAATAAAATATTTAGCATTAAGTCATTTAAGCCTTTCATATTCTAAAAAAATAATAATTTGTACCTTAAATTCAAACAAATAAATAAAGTTAAAAAAATAATAATGCTTAAGTTCATTTTTACCTATAAATCAAATGAATAATAATAAAAAAAAACAATGAATTTTTTTTTGCACTGTGAGATTATTTTAATAATATTATGTATTATGACTATTATGCACTTTTAACTTCCTTAAAGAAACATTTTTCATATTTACTATGTTTAATGGTCAGAGTGCATAGTCTTTTGCATCGGTTATAAATATTTCTACCTTTTAAACTTTATGTAGCCGCTGACTCTGACGTCTCTGTAGTGGTTAAACAGGAGATATAATTCGTCTTGTATAAACCTAACCGGCAATCTTTGGTCTCGTGAATCTATAATTCGTTCCCTGGCCAATAGTTTTCATATCTTTGAGCGCTGAATTTGTATATTTGACTGACTGAATTGTTTCTTTATGTTATTAAAGCTTTACTTATCTTTTTGTACTTTTACTTATACTTTTATAATTGCTATTATTGATAAAACTGAAATAAAAAAAGAGATAGTTTTGTCATTTTTTATTTTATTACAAGATCTGTAATGTTTATTGCAACATTTATACCAATGCGATATGCAAAACATTACATATTGCCTGGAATATGTTTAATATTTAAATGAAAAGAGACAGGGTTGTGTTTTATATTTAGTTTTGTTATAAATATAGCTAACGTTACATGCAGTGAATATAATCAATAGGGGTTGCCTGAACCACATTTGTGTGCTTATAATGTTTAAAATGTATTGAAATGAAATCATAAAGAAGCATAGAGGTGTTTTATAACATATTTCGTTTTATTGTTGCCTAAAATATACATACAGAGATGAACGAAGTAGTAGATCGCTCAAGAACGCGATGTTCCATTAGCAGAATTACTGGACTCTTGTCCTCGGGATCATTCTCCTGAGTCGGACTTTGCGTGGCTACTCGGTGTTGAGAAACGCCTAATGCCGGCGATGTTTCTAGTGACAAACATGCCGAGAAGCAAGAACAAGATCTGCTGTCTGTCATCCATTGTTGTTTACTATGTCGCTTTCTTCGCGCGAAAATGACGTCGATCGCTTCTTTCCAGCAAACACCACGCCTATCAAGTAAGGGTACTGTTGGCGGTGGAAACGCAAGCCCGATCATGGTGTACCCGACCCGACCCGTACTGTACTGTACCGTACCGTACCCCTCAGTGGAAACGAGCCATTACTAGTTCAGACTTTTCCGGTGAAAATTATTATGTTGGTCATACTTCCAAAAATAATAATCATGTGATTCTGAATGCCAGTATCGACACCGGCGTGGTGACTGACAGCCTCACAGTCTCCCCAAACATTGTGTTCATCAGCGCTGTGACGTATCGAGGCCGGGTGTCGAAGTACAACTTACGTAAGGTTGATAATTCCGCGAATGACTGCAATTGCAGATTTCGAACAGAGACGGCAACAAAGTGGGAAATCCCATACTGCAGCTTTAAGTAAATCCACTTTGAAAGCTAATTACTCCTCAACAGCAATGCCATAGAGATATACAGAGCGAAGTTCAAAGACTAAAACAAAAAGGAAGTTCAAAGACTCAAAAAATTCTAATCATGGCTGCCCGCTTGTTTCTCTTATAGACAGTAAAAGCAAGGGGATAATCCACCAGCCGAAAACTGAAGTCAAGAGACAGGTTGCTCACATCAGATCTACGTCGTCAAGCTCTGTTTGAGCCTGCGTAGTGTGCTTGGCAATCAGGAAGTGAGTGTGTCTAATTGACTTCACTTTTCTCCGTTGAAGTCTATGGGGTTGCTGTGTCCATTTCTTTTTCTGTCTATGAGTAAAAGGGTTTCTCTGGCGCATAAGGTCTATACAAAGACAGTAAAAGAAATTATACAGTTTCAGACGATCAGCACCGCCCTCAGGGCGTTCCTATTGTGTCATCGCTACGCAGCATCGAGTGAACCTATGAAAGAGAACTCCTGCAATCTTCCTAAACTGTGTGAGAAAACATGTTATTTAATCACTTTTAACCTTGTTCTGTCTGCCGCCCCTTTCACTTCACACAGTGTTTCACTTTCCAAGCCTGTAATTTATTCCTGTGTCTTTTTCTTACAGTATCTGTGAGTCAGAGCTCATGTCCTGGATGCAGGAACTGGCTGAAATGAGTCAGCAAACATCTTGTGCTGTGCGTGCTTGTGGGAGTACAATTACACAGAAGACAAACTCTATTAAAACACACACAAGCACACAAAGTCACAGTTGTAGCTAATTTTGGAATTCATTTCAGGTGCATACGACGCATGCATGTATGCCCAGAGGTTTTAATATGGGGACTGACACAACATCAGCTCAGAATGATTAACAACAGCTGTTGTCTGCTATATAGTCCAAACAAAAAGTGAGTCCCAAATCACAGTATGCTGAAAACAGGATGCCAAAATCACCCTGATGAAATATTATTTCTGGAGGATTTTTTAAAGTTTGCACGATCTATTCATGCTTTGAGCGTTTCTCAAAGGTTTGATTCCCTGGGAATGTAATATGAACTGATTAAAAGACAATGTGAAATTTGAATGCAATGTTATGCAATCTCTTTGGATAAAAGCATCTGTCAAATACATAAATATAAATTCCTTTTCAGTTAATATTGCCCAGTACCCACAATTCTAAATTGTGTGTATATTATACGGCATTTATGTAATTATAAATACAGTAAAAACAGTAATACTGCAATGTGATTTATTTATTTTCAGCATCATTCTTCAGAAGTCACATGATCCTTAAAGGGTTAGTTCGCCCATTTAAGACACGAAGTTGTATGCAATCCTTACCAGCACTATAGTGCATACACACTGACCCACTCTGTTGTGACCCCCCTGGTCAGAGTTCTGACCGCTGGAAGTTTTTCAATGAAGTACTCCCGGCTATTTTCCGGGGCCACAAAACTGTGCGTTTTTACGTGAAAAAATGATTTGCGTTTCAAAGCTTGATTAATTTACCACACAAAAAACACGCCGGTCAAAATTCATACCTCAGTTTTAATGCGGCACTATTTTCTATCCATTTCTATCAATCCGCGCTGCCGCAACGTCAACAGTGCGCACGTTACGATCAGCTGTTGATAGCGCGCGACTCGCTGACAACATGTCTGACTGCGAAACTTATGATGATGAAACGAATTTTAGCACAATGTCAGACGGATCAGATGATGAAAGTAATTTTAGCACAACGACAAAGGGATACCTGAAGTGATAAATGAACCGGAGTATACCGAACTAGCCTATCGATTGACGAGGAGGCCCGCTGTCTGCATTAGCTACATCCAATGACATTTTCCCTGCAATGCTAAACCTGGAGACGTTCTTCTACGTACCTAAACTCAATTGGAAAAAGCGACCCAAACCAGCTGGACTGACGGTCAGATGTCGACTGAGTAAAAGTGTGTGATCGCTCACGTTGCTTTGTAGTTTTTATTTAAGAATTTAACGTTGTTTTGACCAGTTGGCTATATAATAGGCCTAGTCTATCAGACTGCTTTATTATTATTATTATTATTATTATACTGAGTGGACAGTAATACAATTATTAATAAATTAATAATTTTATTACTGTCTTGACACCAAATGTCCCTTCAGCTTGTTTACCGTACAGTTTAGACATGGGATCATAAAGTTAGCTTACCCGTGGTACTGGTAGCAAACAGCAAAACTCTTTAAAATATATTTTTTTCCTTTTCTTCCTTGGTTGGGGATGTAATCGTCTTCGCTGAAGTGAGCACACACACGACAATCCTTTATTCGGGATATTTTAGCTCCCATGGCAACCAGCCAAAGCTGTCTCATAGGAAACATGAAAACGATGGAATCTGAACTTTGATCCCGGAACATCCTTGTGGTCACAGCCTGGGAATTTACAAGTTCGCACCATTGTTAATTTAATACTTTTTACCTAGTAGTCAATCGATTGTCAAACTATGGAACAGCTGATCGTAACGTGCGCACTGTTGGCGTTGCGGCGGCGCGGATTGATAGAAATGGATAGAAAATAGTGCCGCATTAAAACTGAGGTATGAATTTTGACCGGCGTGTTTTTTGTGTGGTAAATTAATCAAGCTTTGAAACGCAAATCATTTTTTCACGTAAAAACGCAGTTTTGTGGCCCCGGAAAATAGCCGGGAGTACTTCATTGAAAAACTTCCAGCGGTCAGAACTCTGACCAGGGGGGTCACAACAGAGTGGGTCAGTGTGTATGCACTATAGTGCTGGTAAGGATTGCATACAACTTCGTGTCTTAAATGGGCGAACTAACCCTTTAAGAAATCATTATAATATGCCGATTTGCTGCTCAACAAACATTTCTGATTATCATCAATGTTGATAACAGATGTGCGGTTTCATATATATTTTTAAAACTGTTTCTGTATTATTAATTGTTTCAGGATTCTTTGAATAGAAAGTTCAAAACAATATTTCTTTGGAACAGAAAATTTTGTAACATTAAATGTCTTTTTTTATAAATGTATTATGAAAGTTCGTTTCCACCACGGAATAAAACAATTAAAAAAATAATTGCACATTTTTATCTCTCAATTCTGACTTTTTTTACTCCAGAATTGTGAGTTTTAATCTCACTATTCTG